CCGCCCCCCCGGCGGCTTTGCAAAGCCTCAGGGGAAGCCAACAGCAGGACAGCCCAGGCACGCCTGGGCTGCCCCGCTGCCTGAGCCCCTCCGCGGCTTTGCTCTGCGTCTTCCTGGTCTGCAGACCAGGGAGACGTGGAGCAGCTTTTCTCGCCCCGGAGTACACGGGCGGCAGGACCGCGAGGTCCCGCAGTCTGTGTCCTCCGGGGCGAGAAAAGCCCCGTTCGTAACTGCGGATCTGACATAAGTCGGATCTGCGTAAGTCGGGGACTGCCAGTATTCATGTTTAAAAGTGCAAGTGGACTGCTGCCTTTAGTTACCTTTTTGCCTGTTTTTATTTAAAGTGTCATAAAACTTGAAAAGTATACAACCGTTTGGCAGAGTTATAATTCAGGAGCCTGTGCTGATGTTACAAAGTACTACTTCATTGTTAGCAGCAATCTGAAGACTATCTGTCCGACCTCTTGCCAGTCTACCTATAGACGGAGTGAATGCCAGTAAGAGCAGGGAATAGCAGAACTTCCAGTTTCAAGCAGGACACTCTGTCCCTTAGGTGTCAGCAGGGATCAGAGCTGGTGTTATGTGAGCTGAGCCATATCCCCTTTCAAAGCTGACTTGATTCTTACTCCTTTCTTTGCTTGCAGCCTAACCAAACACTGGCCAAACCCTCATGCTCTGCCTAATAAACTCTCTGCTTGCTTGTGGCAGCTGTGCTATTCTGAGCTGTTAATTACTTTCCCATGTCTAATGGCTCCTGGTCCCTGAACATACCTTGTGTATCCTGCCGCACCCAGCGAGCTATGATTCTCTTAAAACACCTGAGTTTCCTGTGATCTGCTGACTGGCTTGGCTTCTCAGATTCACAAGCAACTTGATTTCTTTTTGGGCTTTACTCCGTCCCTAAGGCAGGCTATGGTTGATGTGATGTAAGATCAATGCTAGGCTATGGATATGGATCAATGTTATAGTATGGCAACTGGGACGTGATATTTTAATGCATTCCAGTATCTCCAGTTTTTAAGTGTGACATTTAATTGTCTTGGGCGGTAAGAGGCAAAAAGGGAATCTGTCAGTAAACTGTAGATCATATCAGTATGTTCTCCATGCACGTAAGGTTTTTTTTATTATGTTTTCTTTTTAAATAAGAAACATGTATAAATCCTAGTTATAGTAGGTCACATTTTTAGAGAAATATAAATGTGATGGCTCTGACTGCAACATATAACATACAAATTGCTTGAAGGTGCATGTAAGAAATTCCACATGTCTAGTGGATAGAGCACTGGACCAGGATTCAGGAGATGAGGATTCTGTTCCCAGTTTGACCAGTGGTCCATTGGGTGACCTTGGGCAAGTCATCTTTGCCTCCTCTGTACCTTGATTTACCCGTCTTTAAAATGGGAATGACACTGACCTTTATAAAGGGCTATGAGATCCACTGATGAAAAGTGCTATATGAGAGAGAGAGATTATTATTAAAGGGAGTTAAAAAACAACAACAACTAATACATGTACAGATTATTAAAAATGCAAGACTGTTAACATCTAATGTTACTTTTTCTTACTCATGCTGATTCTTTGAACTCCTCTTCTCTTGGACAATGAAAACAAACTCAAATTCATATTATAACTTTTTAAATGCCTATATTTAGACCAACCCAGCACTGTTCAGCACCCTGCTTTTGGCAGATACTGCGTTATAGGGCTCTTGCAGTTCTTTGGTAATGGGAATGCTTCTTTCATGATCTAGGAGCAGTTTGAACCAAAATGGTTGTCCAGGTGTGTGCCTGGATGAGTTGTTTTTACAACTTTCCTGATTGGTAGATCAATACCGCTGAAGCATCAATGTTTTCCTCATGGAAGCCCCAACCCCTTTTCATAATCTAAAGGCCAGCACTGAAAAATAGAGAGAATGCTATTAGGTCTAGAATGACTCTGCAGCTTGTCCTGCTGCAATATTGGGAACCCAGTTTGTTCATGTGTTTTGTATGGCTACTGAGTGGAAGTAGCATGATGTAATCTTTGAGAGGTGAGACAATAACCTAAAACTTGGCAGTTCACATGATAAATGCAGTGCTAGCTCAGAGCATTGGAACTGGATGTTTTAATTTGTTTTAGGCAAAACTTAATTTTGTGTTTAATTCTAAATTTCCTGTCCCTAAAAAGATCGTGGATGTTTTTAAAATGTCAGTATTACATCCATGCATTATGGTAGATTGTGTTCTACACAACCAACACAATTCTGTCTGTTCTTAAGGCTCTTTGTTTTTTGTTCTACAAACATTTAATTAATCTCCAATGCAAAAATTCTTTTGATGACTTAAACTATAGATGGTTCTCCTCTTTTCCCAACTGTTGTAGTTTAAAGTAAAAGGAAGTCGGTGCCCTATTAATACATAGCAAAATTCCCTGTTGAGTTCAGTGTTTGCCAAGACTGTTGGAACCAAGATTTGCTTGTGACACTAAATCTTCTCTTGTCACAGTTGTACTCTTGGAATAGTTATCAGACCAGCAACAAAGAGGTGACCTAAAACTAGCGCATGGTATCTGAAACACAGATGGATAAATAACAAGGCATGTTATTTTGCTAGCCAAAAAAAGCTCTATTCAAAATCGTGTGTATCCTGAATCATTTAGCATTTAATGTGTACATTCTGAATACATAGTTTTGAAGAAAAACCTTGATTGGAGGACAAGAATCTGATACATCTACTCATATTGAGTAGTGCCTCAGTCCACATAAACTTTATGCATGGGACTTTTAAAATTTTTTGCATAAAACTGATCCATATTCATTCCTTGCCTCTAGTCATTTTAATTATCTTAACCCTCTAAATATGACTTATTGTAACAAAATACATGTCACTGCTCCTCTTAGGCTATGGTGTATACTCATTTTTGTGCATAAATGAATATAACCTGGATCAGATATTCCTTTGCTTAAAAACATTTAATTTCCCTCAGCCCTGATTTTATTTATTAAGGTGCTATGCAAGTTATGCATGTGACATTGTACGGAAATACCATACCATATCAAAAAGTCTCAGAGGGACCATCTGTAATTTTAAAAACAACAAGTAGTCCAGTGGCATCTTAGAAAGTGGGTTTTACACACGAAAGTGCATGATCCTGTATGATCATGCAGATGTTACCCAGATGGGAGGCGTTGTAAGTGCTTTGGAGGATCAGGTCATAATTCAAAATCACCTGGACAAATTGGAGAAACGGTCTGAGGTAAATAGGGTAAAGTTTAATAAACACAAATGCAAAGTATTCCACTTAGGAAGGAAGTCAGTTTCACATGTACAAAATAGTAGTGATTGTCTAGGAAAGAGTATTGTAGAAAGGGCTGAAGGTCTCATAGTGGATCATAAGTATGAGTCGTCAGTGTGACAGTGTTGCACAAAAAAAAGCAAACATGATTCTGGGATGCATTAGCAGAAGTTTTGTGAGAAAGACATGAGAAGTAATTCTTCCGCTCTGCTCTGCGCTGACTAGGCCTTAAGTGGAGTATTGTGTCCCATTCTGGGCACCACATTTTGAGAAAGATGTGGAGAAATTGGACAGGGTCCAGAGAAAAGCAACAAAAGTGATTAAGTATCACAGGGGTAGCCGTGTTAGTCTGGATCTGCAAAAGCAACAAGGAGTCCTGTAGCACCTTATAGACTAACAGATGTATTGGAGCATAAGTGATTAAAGATCTAGAAAACATGACCTACGAGGGAAGACTGAAAGAATTGGGTTTGTTTAGTTTGGAAAGGAGAAGACTGAGAGGGGACACAGGATAGCTGCTTTCAAGTACCTAAAAGGCATTACAAAGAGGAGGGAGAAAAATTGTTCTCCTTGATCACTTATGATAGGACAAGAAGCAATGGGCTTAAATTGCAGCAAGGGAAGTTCAGATTGGACATTAGGAAAAACTTCATAACTGTCAGGGTGCTTAAGCACTGGAATAAATTGCCTGAGGGGGAGTTGTGGAATCTCAATCAATGGAGTTATTTAAAAGCAGGTTAGATAAAAATCTGTCCGGAATGATCTAGGGGTGCTTGGTCTTTCTATAAGGGGTGGAGACTGGACTTGATGATCTCTTGAGGTCCCTTCCAGTTCTAGTGTTCTGTTATTCCTTAATCTCTAAGGTGCCACGGGACTACGTAGCATATCAGTTATCTTTGATGGACACTAGTGGCAATAAAGATTAGGGAGTAAAAGAGGCATCATGCCTGTGATTTCTATTTACATTGGATCTAGGTAGTGCTTTCATATATATGGGAGATCCATTTGGGTAGTAAAAAGTCTCGCTATGCCCAACTAGCAAACTTCTTCATGCTGTTCAGCCAATAGGGGATTTTCACTTTTCCAGGCTAGGTTGACTTGATCTGACTTTGGTTCTCAAAAAGTTATTGTACAAAGATTGGATTCCCAGTAGTTTACTTGCAAATGTGGCTTGTCTGTAACATTCTCAGGGCCCTTTCATGCATGTCTTTTCAGTCTTCCTCCCCAACCTTCTCAGGCTTTTACATAGTCTTATTTTAAATTGTAGAGGTATTTCAGTCATACTTGAAACCACTTGATAATCCCCCACTCTTCTTTACAGATTTTAGATAAACCCAGATGTGGTGTCTCGAGGTGCTGGAATCTGAGTTGTGGTATGAGTACTGGATTTCACTACTGCTTTCAGCAACCACATTACTGGCAACTTAAATGTGAATTAGATTTCCTTTTGCGTTTTGACTCAGCACTTCACGTTTATGACGACAACACATTTTCAGTGCTAAAGAATGCTACACAATTTGTGTGGGATGAAGGGAAATTTTAGATTGAAAATGAGGGATAAGTGTGAAAGTATGAATGAAATAAGAGATTGCAGTTTACTGGGTGCTGACAGGTTCTGTGTTCTAACTTCTATCGGAGCCACTACTGAGATGCTATCTCTAGTAATTGCTGTAAGGGAAAAATGGAACAAATTTATCTGTATTACTGTTCTTTTTTCTCTCTTTCTCAATCAGTGTTTCGGTGTCAACTGTATTCTAACAGGCCTTCTAGCTATTGCTTTCTTCATCACACAAACTTGTACGAAAAGAACATTTTGGGGGGTAATTGAATCTTAACTTTTCAGATGTTTTTAGGTTACAGTGTAATGTCAGCTTTGACATTTTGAGCCGCAACTGTACAGATGATGATCCTCAAGTCCTTCCGCAATCTATGTAATGTTTTAAATTGTGCTCACCCTGCAAATGGTGCTATTGGGGATGGCGAGTACAAAGCTATAGGTCTGTATGCCTAATAGCCATTGACTTTTTCCACTAATTCAAATGCTTATAAACTACAGATTTAGTTCATAGAGTGTGCTTGTAAATTAGCCGTCTGGTTTTTGAGAACTTGTATTTTATCTGTTTCTCTGCAAGTGAGTTGGGGAATTCACATACTTACTACAGTTTACCAATTTATTGAATGGGGATTATACTTAACTACCTGTCTTACAAACAATGCAAAGTATTAATAAATGTTAGTAGCAGTATGTAAAACAAATTATTTCATCAAGTTTTTAGTTGCATAGTTCAGATAAGATTGTAACAAAAAATGAAGAAAAAAGGTTTATTCTGAGTTTAACCAGCACAGTGGAATCATTTTTGGAAGTTTCAGTTGTTCTTCTGCACTTGGAATATTATTAATCTTTGTGGGACAATCCAAGAAAGGCTAGATTCACCTTTCTTGGTAGAAATATTGTGGAAATTGGAATATGACTGGAATTTAAGAAAAGCAAATGATTTTAAATATTAAACTATTAACTCACCATTACTTGTACTACATCACATAGGCCTCTGCTTTTATTTTCACAGTGCTATGCTAGTCAAAATAAGGTTGGACAATTTTAAAAATTCTTTCCGAGCTCCCTGTGGACAGAGGCTGCTCTGTGGCCATC